ATGTACGTAGATATAGGTGCGTTTTCCTCTGAATATATGTAAGCATTACGAACAATTCGGTAAATAATTTCTCCACAAGGTGATTTATGTCCACTGGATTGATAATCGGGAAACATTTTACGAATCACAACTGTCCACCAATTAGGTAATTCCTGATCATCATTCGGATTCATGTGTGACACAGACAGAAATCAAACGCAAGCATCTATATCCCCGCTTTCAGTTTATTTTTAGTTCATACTATTCCCATAAATAGTTGTCAAACGTAACTTAAATTTCTAACCATTAAATATCGCACAAGGCTAAATGTATAACCAAAGTGTAGGTAGCATATGTAAAGCTTATAACCGCTATCTCATACGCAAATAAACGCGTTGTAGGCTGTCGTTGACCGACATTTCAATTGATCAACACTTATTTATTAACCAAGATAGTGTCATGTCAAAGTGTTTTCTGATTTGCCCATAGATACATGACGCTTAGCTCTTCATCTATTGAACATAGTGTTTGACGGTTACGTCTTGCTGTGTGTACTGGACAGACATTAAATCACACCAAGTTGATGTGTCACGTTACGCTTAGTTCGAACAGATAACTGCGAATATATCGTAGTGAAGGTAAGATGTAACAAGTCCTGGTAGTTAACATAAGTAAATTAAGCAGATTTAGAAGAACGCACAATTAAAGAAATAGTAAGATTCAGCAGCACGAAACTATATAAATGCGATTACCCGTTGCATTTCTCAATTCGACGGGCAAATTCTTCCTTTCGGGCGGCCGACTCTTCTTTTTCCCTTTCCTACAATCGTCAGTTCAAGGGAATTTGCAGCAAACCCTTTTCTCAAAATGTTTCTTTTGACATTTCAGTATAGTCTTGTAATGCTTGTGCAAGCTCTGGAATGCAACAATCCGTTCAGATTTTCCAATTTCATTTCCATCAAGAGCCTATTGATTGTAATTAGAAGTGCAAATATACCTTCAATTGAGGCAGAGTGGCAATGACAAATTCGCGGTAACCTTCGTAATCAGCACAGGGGTTGCCGATGAGGTACCTTAACAGATATTTAAAGAACAACACTGGACTTACAACTCATTGAGGTTTTCGAGGTTTTGCAAATTTTCTACGCTTGTCAGGTCCCCAATAAAGTTAACTGTTAAGTCCAATTTTGTCAATGACTCACAGCCTACACGTCAGCAACTGTAAGAAAAACGTACCCTCGAGATTTTCTATAGTTTCAATATTATTAAGTGCAAGATTTAGATACTCTAGATCTTTAAGACGGTTCAGATTCTCTAAAAATATATTCTTTTTATAATATTTACCGATCTTTGCGATAAGGTTGCTTTGTAAATAAAGGATTTTTAACTTTCTGCAATGTTTATCCAGAAATTCGATCCTATTTGCAAGCTTTATGCTAAAAACAGAGTCATCTACTTTTCTATGTCTTGTTGATGAAGTGTCAGCTCCTCCAGACTGAATATTTCACCTTCGTTGTGTTCCGCACGTCTACGGACAAGGTCCTCAGTAACTAAGACTTATAGCCCCTAATTCTTGCACTTACTTCGAACCATCGCAGATCGTTGTGTTGTAGTATCCGCAGAAATTGATAGTACTAGATCTTCTA